CACCGGCCCCGCCGTACCCCCAACCAAAATAGGGAGGGGGCAAAAATAATTTCTGAGGGTCCGCAGACACCAAAACCACAGCAGACAGAGGCTGTGTCTACCTGAAGAACTGGAGAGGCAGAGTTAGCCGGGGAGGCTTGGCTTCCTCGGCGGCGCCCCCTCCATCCAGCATAAAACTGCGAGGGCGCGGCGTCCCAAGCGGTTGGTGGGCAGGTGGGTGCGCGACAGGAGGAAAGCGCGGAGTCACGAAGCCTCCCCCGCTGGGCACCGCCTCCTCTCTGAGGGGCCTGCCCTCCGTCGCGCATTAGTAAGACTATGCTCAGGCCAAACAGTCGCCCCCGGCCAGCCAGACTCGGCTCCAGAGGGAGAGTCCCGCGGGAGCGGGGGCCCAGCGGCGGAGAGGGCCATTCGGACAGAAGGGGGGGAGCCGACAGTGTCCCCTCGCGCCCCCGCCTCCGTCGCAAAGGGAAAGGTGTAGATCGCCAGAGTTCACACCAGAGTGTCCACCTGAGGCTCCTCCTCGCCTCCCAGCACCCTGGAGAGTGGCTCCCTCCGCTTCCTCCTGCCCCCAAGTCGCCGCGCCCCTCCGTGGGACGCTTGGTTGGGTCCGGGGCGGGGCGGGCAGGCGCTCCACGTGCGGCCGTGAGCTCCGCCGCCTCCGCCGCCACCTCGGGGCGGGTCGGGGGCGGGGCCTCGGGGGGCGGGACGGGAGGCGTGGGCGGGGCGGACGCGGAACGCTCGTCTAGCTGCAAACAGGCCGAGGGGCTGAGAGGAGCGGGGTAGGTTCGGCGCCGGCAGGAAGGCACGCAGAGCTGACGGGAGTCCGACGCCTGGTGCTCGGGACTTTCTCCGAGGTACGAACAGGAACCCGGCGTCTGGGGCCTCTCAGCACGCCCCCTAGCCCAGCCGCCGGGCCCCGGCCGCCCGCTGTGCCCCCTGCCGGCCGGACGGCGGCGGTTGAACTGGGTTTCTGGAGGGTTTCTGGAAGTCGCGAGTCCCAGCGAAGGCAGTGCCCCTCTCTCCGCCACTTTCTTCGCCGCCTTCTCGCTCCTCCGGCTCTGGGCGTCGGGCACGGGCGGGAAGGTTGCCTCTCCGCGAGTCGGAGCTCGCCCACGCCGGGCGGGAGGACGAGGCCCCGGGGCAGCCGAGCGGGGCAGCGGGGGAGGCGCGGAGCTCCGGGGCCGCCTCTGAGGCGAGGGCGGGAGGCCGGTCCCGGCTCCGAGCTGCGACCCCGGGCTCGGTGCGCCGCGCTCGGTCCTCGGGATCGCGGGGCTTCTCGGATCGCAGGGCTCTCCGGTGGTCCCCGGCGCCCAGTTTTGTGTCGCTGTGACGGGGTTGCCAGGGCCCGCACCTGAGCCCCACATTGCTGGGGGCTGCGCCGTTGTGCGCGCGCGGAGGCCCGGCAGCCCGGCTGCTGGGAGGGATCGGAGTGCAGCGTCTGCCCTGCCGTCCCTGAAAGTGCCTAGTTGGGGGAGCGGGAGGTCTAGCTGGGGCGCGTCGGCGCCGCAGGGGGACCTCGGTGGAATACGAGTGGGGGGCGCGGCCTGCATGATTTGGGTTCCTGGAGGAGCTTATGGCGCGCAGGCCGAGCCCTAGGCTAAGGAGAGATCACCAGATTCCGCTCCAGGCTGGTGGGCCAGGTGCTGTCAGGTATGGACAGCTGGGGGCCACCCATGTCAGTTCCACAGAGATTGAAACAACACCTCGAGTCCCGGGACACCGTAGCCTAATGGTGAGGGCGTTTTCTTAAAGGCTTGAGTAGATGGAAAGCTGTCAAAATAAGCATATTTTAAAGTTGAAATGATAGCTGGCATATTTTCAGGCCGTGCAGTTGTGTAGCCATTGTCCAAAGAAATAATTAGCTCGTTTTCCTTACAGCTTTTTCGTTTTTTGTTTGTTTTTTTTTTTTTATCAAAAATCCGCTTTGCCAGTATTTCCCACAGGAGTTGTGCATTGCCCACGGCGGAGAAGGAAAACTTAAGCAAGCGTTCTCAGGTTGCTTTTGACTTCAGTCTTGCGCTCTACTACAGCATTTCTGAATGTGGAGAAAAAGTATCTCTTGCTAGATTTTCTATGGATGATTCCTTCCCTTCTTCTCTGGGACCCAGCGATGTTTGTGGGGGTTATAAGCATCTATTTAAATTTAGTGTTTGCACGAAATACTCCCTCTTGCCACAGGGTGTAGTTTAGGGATTAGAAAATGCTGTTGGAGAAAGCTGCTAGTGGCTTCATTTTCCAAGAATGTAAGTCATTTCCTTTCGGTGATTTCAGGGAGTTGATATTTCACAGCATCAAAACTTTGTGGGGAAAATTTTCCGTAATACATCTAGTCATTAAAAAAGGCTTGTGACTTTTGGGTTTCCTTCTACTTAGAGCAGTGTATAAATTTAGGCTTAGCAGTGTTAAAGAATAAGAAGTTTTTTTAGCATCTAGAGCATTATGAGACTGTTGTAGAAAGTAGTTTTAACAACCAAGACCTACAAATGGCCTGCAGGATGAAGAGTGGGGGAGGGGAGAAGACCAGAAGAGAGAGGCAAGAAAACAGATGCCTTTGCTGTTGTCCTTTGTACTATAAAACTTTTTGCACCTAATCATTTTCCTTGGATGTGGTTTTGAGAAATAACCATTTTGTGTTAAAAATGAAAATACTCCAAAATATGAGACAACTGACATTTGAATGCTTTTTCAGTATGTTTGTAAACATAGTGGATTCGTATTTCATATTAAAATGGACCTTTGGTAGGATTATTAGATGAAAAGGGTCCCTCAGGGGATATCTGATATCAAGTTATCTGCAGGATATCTTCTCCAGAAAGCAGACTGACTGTAATATGAACTAATTTTCCCCCTCTTTGAATTGTTGGTAAGAATCCCTGCGATCTGACACTGATGGGCCATAGTAATCAGCAGTTCTTGCAGTGCTCAAAACATTTTAAGGGACAGAAAATCTTTATTTCCAACCCCTTCTTTTGGGGGGCAACAGGCGTAAGCAACCAGCTTTAAGTACATAATTTAAATTTGCAGATTTAAGATGCCCCTGGCTTTACAGGAAAATGCCTGAGAACAGCCCAGGCCAGGATGAAGACACTGCTTTTGAAAGCAAAATGCCAATGTGCTAGGTAACAGTTTTTAGCTACAGATTCTTTAAAAACTGTTATTCAACTGGGCTAGCTAAGTTGGGGGGGGAGGGGTTGTAGAGCTTTTTTAGTTTCTGGATTTTGTTTCTGTGTTTAACTATGCTTATAAAGCTTTTGGCTTTCAGAACTTATGACATAATAGACCGTGTAGACTTTTGTGGTACATGCTTGAAATGAAAGTTTCTAACAGAATTGTTTTTGACTGAGCTGTCAAGTTCAGAGTTTAGTGTAAATGAGTCCTGTCTCA